AGAGAGAGAGAGAGAGAGAGAGAGAGAGAGAGAGAGAGACCGGGAGTGGGGGAGGGTCAGGATGCACTATAGCAGGGGAACCAGAGGCAGTGGGAGGGGGGCTTCCCATCCAAGACCTGGGCAGAGCGCCCACCCCAGCTGGGGCGGCTGGTGTGTGCTTTCTTGGCAGGCAGTGGTATTTCAGATATGGATCACTGATTCCATCTACAGCTCAGCCTAAAAGCTAGCGTAATGAGCACTGCTGGCTGCCCTTGTTAACTGCACTTCTAACGTGAGGGGCCCATGGAGGTGCTCCCGGATGCCAGCAGCCTCTGGCACGGACCGCCATGTGGAATAAAGGGCTTTTTCTCCAGGCCCAGGTGCCACAGGACCCTTGGGCCAGACTCCTCCTTCCCAATGTTCCCTTTCTTTCAGGTGGGGGAGGTCTACCAGCAGCTGCACGCAGCCATGAGCCAGGCACCGGTGAAGCAGAACGTCCCCTACTCCTGGGCCCGGTTGGCCTGTGTGAAGGCTCACTACTATGGGGCCCTGGCCCACTACTTTGTTGCTACCCTCCTCATTGACCATCAGTGTAAGAACTGGGGGCATGGGGCTCTAGGGTTTGCCCAGGGTTTTGGGGTGGCTGCCTGTGGGGGTTACTGAGCTGGAAGAGCCTGCCTTGGAGATGCTCACAGACTGAAGGCAGAGGGTGAGATTACCGCTCCCAGGGTGGGTTTGCTGGTGGTTGTCACTGTGTCAATTCCTCCTAATAGCGACCCCATGTGTCAGTAAAACTGGGTTTCACTGGGCATGGGTTCTCAGTGGCTGCTATTATGGAAGCAGGTTGTCAAGCCTTGATTTTGCAGAGTTTCTGGATTGTTGTTGCTCTCACTCTACCAAGTCATTTCCGACTCATAGCAACCCTGTACAGGGTTTCTGAGGAGCGGCTGGTGGGTTTGAACTTCCAACCTTTCACTTAGCAGCCCAGTGTTTATCCTGTTTGTTTATGTTAAGTTCCGTCCAGTTAGTTTCCGCTCATAGCGCAGCCCAGTGTTGGGTTTCCATGACTGCGAATCTGCGGGAACAGAAAGCCTCATCTTTCTCTTTCAGGGTGGCTGAACCTCCTACCATGTGGTTTGTAGTTCAGTGTTTATCGTCCCGAGCCACCGTGCTCCCTGCTTATCCTAGTAGGGTTTTTTAAATCTTGCTGTGGAAAGATTAAAGGAGGGAAAGGATAGCATTAAATCTGCCTTAGTTTTAGCAGACGCCTTCGTAGAGGGTACTTTTCATTGGGAACTTAAGCCAAGGGGCCCTGGTGGCACAGCAGGCTTAGACAGGGCTGCTAACCACAAGGTCATTGGTTCAAACCCACTAGCTGCCTCTAGGGAGAAAGATGAGGCTTTCTGCTCCTACAGAGATTCACAATCTCAGAAACCCTAATGAACAGTATTTCACCTGTCCATCCTATAGGATCGGTGTGAGTCAGAATCAACTCGACAGCAGTGGGTTTGGTGGATTTAGGACAGGCCAGGACAACGGTGAGGAAAGTAAGGGCTCTGTGACTCAGACTCAGAATTCAAGGGCATGCCAAAAATCTCAGTAAAGTAACATTTTTTAATTGGGGTAAAATATAACATAAAATTTTAACTATCTTTAAGTATACAATTCCAAGGCATTAATTACATTCATATGCAAGTTCAGGCTGAAGCTGAAGAAAACTGAAACAAGTCCACAAGAAAGAAAATATGACCTTGACCATATCCCACCTGAATTTAGAGACATCTTAAGAACAGATTGGATATATTAGGCACTAAAGACAAAAGACCAGAAGAGTTGTTGATGACATCAAGAACATCATGCAGGAAGAAAGCAAAAGGTCATTTTAAAGACAGGGAAAAAAGAAAAGGACAAAATGGATGTCAGAAGAGACTCTGAAAGTTGCTCTCCAGTGTAGAGATGCTATAGCAAATGGAAGAAATGAGGAGGTCTAAGAGCTGAACAGAAAATCTCAAAGAACAGCCCGAGAAGACAGAGTTAAGTATTATAATGACATGGTGCAAAGACCTGGAGTTAGAAAGCCAAAAGGGAAGACATTCAACATTTCTCAAGCTGAAAGAACTGAAGACAAAATTCAAGGCTTGAGTTGTAATACTGAAGTAGACTATGTGCAAAATATTAAAAATGATGCCCAAAGCATCCAAAGATGATACAAGGAAAACACAGAGTTACTGTACCGAAAAGAAATGGTGTTTAACTATTGTTGTTGTTGTTGTTGTTGTCAGGTGCCATCGAGTCGGAACCGACTCATAGCGACCCCATGCACAGCAGAACGAAACAATGTTCGATCCTGGGCCAACCTCACTACCGCTGCCACACTTGAGTCCATCAATGATGCCACCTGGCTGATCCATCTCGTTGGGGGTCTTCCTCTTTTTCTCTGACCCTCCACCCTACCCAGCATCCTTCTCCAACGACTGTTTCCTCCGGACAATATGTCCAAAGTAGGAGAGATGAAGCTTAGCTATCCTGGCCTCCAAGGAGCACTCTGGCTGCACTTCTTCCAAAACAGATCTATTGGTTCTTTTGGCAGTCCATGGCACCCTCAGTATTCTCCTCCAACACCACAACTCAAAGGCATCAATTCTTCTACGATCTTCCTTATTCACTGTCCAGCTTTCGCATCCATATGAGGCTATTGAAAACACAATGGCCTGGGTCATTTAACTATAGCATACGATTAAGAACCGATGATACTGAAGGAAGAAGTCTAAGCTGCACTGAAGGCATTGGTGAAAAACAAGACTCCAGGAACTGATGAAACACAAATTGAAATCTGTCAACAAACTGATGGAGCACTAGAGGTAATCACTCATCCATGCCAAGAAATTTGGAAGACAGCTACCTGGCTAATTGACAGCAATACCTCCATACTTGTGCTCATTCCAGTGGAATGTAGAAAACATCAAACAATGTCCTTTAATCTCATATGCAAGTAAAATTTTGCTGAAGATCATTAAAAAATGGCTGCAATAGTACATCAGTAGAGAACTGCCGGAGGTTCAAGCCAGATTCAGAAGAGAACATGGAACTAAGTTCATCACTGCTGACATCAGATAGGTCTTGACTAAAAGCAGAGACTACCAGAAAGATGTTTATCTGTGCTTTATTGACTTTGCAAAGGCTTTTGACTCTGTGGATTATGACAGGTTATCGACAACATTGAGAATAATGGATATTCCAGACACTTAATTGTGCTCATGAGGAACCTATACATAAACCAAGAGACAGTCCATTGAACAGAACAAGGGAATACTGAGTGGTTTAAAATTAAGAAAGGTGTGCACCAGGGTGGTATTCTTTCACTGTACTTACTCTATCTGTATGCTGACTAAGTAATCCAAGAAGCTGGATTATATGAAGAAGAATGTGGCATCAAAACTGGAGGAAGAGTCATTAACAACCTGCTATATACAGATGGTGTAACCTTGCTTGCTGTAAGTGAAGAAGACTTGAAATACTTACTGGTGAACATCAAAGACCACAGCCTTGAGTATGGATTGCACTGAAATGTAATAACAAAAATATTCGCAATAAATAGCATCCTGATAAATGGAGGAAAGATTGAAGTCACGGGCCTCATTTTTCTTGGATCCACACCATCTGTACTCATGGAAGCAGCAGTCAAGAGATCAAATGGAGTATTGCATTCGGTAGATCTGCTGCACAAGACCTCTTCAAAGTGTTCATGAACAAAGATACCAGTTTGAGGAGTAAGGTGTGCCTGAGTCAAGCCATGGTATTTTCAGTAGTCTCATATGCGTATGAAAGTTGGACAATGAATAAGGAAGCCCATAGAAGAACTGATGCATTTGAGTTATGGTGTTGGAGAAGAGTGAAAAGTACCATGGACTGCCAGAAGAACAAACAGATCTGTGCTGGAAGAAGTACAGCCAGAATGATCCTTAGAAGTCAGGATGACGAGACTTTGTCTCTCATACATCGGACATGTTATTAGGAAGGACCAGTCCCTCGAGAAGGATATCATTCTTAGTAAAGTGGAGGGTCATCAAAAACGAGGGAGGCCCCCAAAGATATGGATTGGCGCAGTGTTATAGCATCAGTGAACTCAGTATAACCACAATTGTGAGGAGGACACAGGACTTGGCAGTGTTTGGTTCTGTTGTGCATAGGGTCACTGTGAGTCACAGCTAACTCTAACAACAGCTATAGTGCCAGTGTTCTACAACCAGCACCACTAATTCTAAAACTTCAGTATCCTCCAAACAGAACCTCTGTACCCATTAAGTAGTGACTCCCCATTCCTTCCCTCCCCCACTTCACTAACCTGGTAACCTCTAATCTGGTTTACTGTCTCTATGAACTTGTAGATATAGAGCATATTTTAATATCATGTTGTTTTCTTAATCAAATTCATGATGATCAAACTTTTCAGTAACGTCAGGGACCTGTAACAGCGCTGTGCTGAATCACATTGAAGCCTGAGACGAAAAGACATTTGTTATCATTTTGATATTTTGTTCATCATGGTTTTTTTTTTTTTTTTAAACCTTTTGGCGCCCCCTTACATTTTGAGCCCAAGGCTAATGCCTCACTTGTCCCGAGTCCTGGCCCTGATTTATATATAGGGTCAGGATATGTGTGATGATGGGTATTAATGAAAAGAAACCCGCAGAGTAAAAATTAAAAGGACACACTCTGGAACCAGACTGCCTGGGTTCAAATCTCAGCTCTGCTCTTTATAATTATCTTGGGCAAGTTACTTAGCTTCTCTGTGCCTCTGTTTTCTCATCTGTAAAATGGGGATATGAGTAGAATTTGCCTCATAGGGCTGATGGGAAAGACTAAGTTAGTGTCTATATACAGAGCTGTAAGTGGGTTTTCTGAAGGTGTTAGCCACTACTAACTACTAGTATTAGTATAAGGTAAGCCAAAATAGCATGGCCGGATAATTGCCCTCTGTTGATTGTGGTCAAGGACAATCTCTCAATGGTAGTGATATCTGAGTTGGACTTTGAACCTTGAGTAGGATTTTTCTAGCTGGATCTGGAGAGAAAGGACGCTTAAGAGTAGAGAAAATTGTGTGAGCACTGGAATGTTGATCAGGGTGTAGTGTAAGATACAGGGCCGGGCCTGGGAAGGGCCCTTTGTTACAGGTGTGGAGGCCCCCAGAGCAGCAATAGGGTCAGGTCTATGCTGGAAGTTTCCATGAAGTGGAATCTAGGAGCAGTAGAGTGTGGAGATTCAGTATCAAGTTAGGAACCACGAAAGTGTGCCTGGCCAGTAGGCCAAAGGCCCTGGCCAAAGGCCTGAGGGTTTGATTGCCCGTTTCCCTAAATGCCCAAATACATCTGGGACTTGACGCAGAAGAAATAAACCAGAGTTTTATTGAAGGAGACTTCTCTAAGTGGTTCTGTGACACCATGTCCACAGGAGGGGACTTACCTGGTGGTTTCTGTTGCAGTGAAACCCGGTGCAGACGAGGACCACCAGGAGAAGTGCATGTCCCAGCTCTACAACCGTATGCCTGAGGGACTGACACCCTTGGCCACACTGAAAAATGTACATCAGCGCCGACTGTTGGGTGTGTATAAGTCAATGATCTTGGAACCTGTGCTAGGGCTAGCTCTCAAAAGAGTAAGGTGTCCCCATTTCTAGGTTCCTGAAGAAGACCAGTGTCATTGAGATCGCTCTGGATACAGCTTTGAAGAGCTTCCAAAGCCATGCTCTTCTGGTTCCATGCGGACCCAGGCACCTGCAGGAAAGCCAGAGTGTTAACAACCTCCCAATGCCTTAATGGCGCACAGAATGACTCTTGGACATTCTTACGTTCTTATCTATCCACAGCTTCATCACCAATTGTGAATTATCCTACCTGATCTCTGCTAGGTCTCAAAGTTAATATCTCTTTCATATCAAAACCTGGTGAATTCCTTCACCACGCCATCCTGCCTGCTCTTTTTCCAAACTCTACACAGTTTCCCCCAAGGAGCTCTGGTAGCGTAGTGGTTACGAAT